GCTGCGAGAACCTCCCATTTCTAGAGCCCTTGTCTGCTAGAGTCTTCATTCCGGATGAGATTTAGAAATCCTATATAATAAAAGGCTAATATGCAAATTGTCCCTACTGGGGAGTTTGACCAAGTGGGAGTTAGATGTGCGCTGACCAGCAGGGGGTGACACGGAACACGGTGGGCGTTGGCGATGCAGCAGTGGAGGCACTGCCGGCCCCAACGGGCCCCAGTGAGAGCAGGACTGTGGCAGGATGGTGGAGCAGGTGAGCGAGCGGTGCCAGGCCAAGGCGACAGGCAGCCAGGGGAAGGGAGGCCCTGGCCGGCAGCCGTGAGGGACCCTACCAGTGCACGAATTTCGTGCACTGGGCCTCTAGTGTAATATAAAGCTCTAGAGTGGGTTGCAGGAGCCAGGACACTATTATCTCTTTCTCTAGAACTAGTTCTGTTCTCTGTCTCCTTTGAATTACTAGGCCTTGAATAAACTGCCACCAAGGATATTCAGACACAGAATGGTAGAACATCCAGATCCTAGAATCCAGAAAATCAGTTTCTAGAACTCTCACCTGCTAGAGCAGAGGCTGGCAAACTATGACCCCACAGGCCAAATCCAACCGACCATCTGTTTTTATAAATAAAGTTTTATTGAAGCACAGTCATGTCCACTCATTTACATAGTCAATGGCTGCCTTCTTACTATAACAGCAGACAAGTAGTTGTGACAGAGACGGTCTGGCCCTCAAAAGCTTAATGTTTACCATATTTGCCACCTGGGCAAAGCAGAGACATCTAGGACCCCAGTGTGGCAGAGCCCGAGAGCGGCAGAGTCTGCAAAACCTCTGCCCGCAAGAACCCTAACGCTGTGGGATCCAGGGCCAGAACCTCAGGATGCAGAACCATAGAAAGTTAGCCTGCAAGAACCTCCCATTTCTAGAGCCCTCGTCTGCTAGAGTCTTCGTTCCGGATGAGATTTAGAAACCCTATATAATAAAAGGCTAATATGAAAATTGTCCCTACTGGGGAGTTTGACCAAGTGGGAGTTAGATGTGCGCTGACCAGCAGGGGGTGACACGGAACACGGTGGGCGTTGGCGATGCAGCAGTGGAGGCAGAGAGCAGGACTGTGGCAGGATGGTGGAGCAGGTGAGCGAGCGGTGCCAGGACAAGGCGACAGGCAGCCAGGGGAAGGGAGGCCCTGGCCGGCAGCCGTGAGGGACCCTACCAGTGCATGAATTTCGTGCACTGGGCCTCTAGTGTAATATAAAGCTCTAGAGTGGGTTGCAGGAGCCAGGACACTATTATCTCTTTCTCTAGAACTAGTTCTGTTCTCTGTCTCCTTTGAATTACTAGGCCTTGAATAAACTGCCACCAAGGATATTCAGACACAGAATGGTAGAACATCCAGATCCTAGAATCCAGAAAATCAGTTTCTAGAACTCTCACCTGCTAGAGCAGAGGCTGGCAAACTATGACCCCACAGGCCAAATCCAACCGACCATCTGTTTTTATAAATAAAGTTTTATTGAAGCACAGTCATGTCCACTCATTTACATAGTCAATGGCTGCCTTCTTACTATAACAGCAGACAAGTAGTTGTGACAGAGACGGTCTGGCCCTCAAAAGCTTAATGTTTACCATATTTGCCACCTGGGCCTTTACAGAAAAAGTTTGCTAGCACCTGTGCCAGACCATTGGTGTTCTAGGATGGAATCCAGAGCTCTAGAATGGAATTCTCATAGTGTGGGATTCTAGAACCCCAGAATTCTAGATGATCCGTAGGGTCGCTCCTTGAAATATGACAATGTTAGGACTTTATCATGACAGAACCTCAGAATTATCAAACTATAGTACTTTCAGTTCCTGGAATCTCAGAGCTTGCAACTCTAGAAAACAGCATTTCTAGCTCCTGGAATATCCAAATCTGGAAACTGAGGACCCGAGAACCTGAGAATTCTAGATATCTAGAACATGGGTGCTCAATGAACTCTGATTATCTAGTTTGGTGATAACAAAATGGTAGCCCATCAGCCACGGGTCTGGTCCACAGACACCTTAAACACACGATGCTCTAAAAAAACAACTAGAATGTGATTGTCTAGGGGCAGGTCTGCAGTCTCCTTTGCTAAGCCCCTCCCCTGCAGGTACACCCGCACCCTGTTGTACCCCATCCCAAGCTTACTCACTCGGCATGGCACAGCTGGAAAGGAGTGAACCGGAGTTCCAGGTTCAGGCAGCTCTCTGCAGGGGGAACACAGGCAGATGGGCACGAGGGACCTCCAGGCGCCCTCCCCGCCCTCTCCCTCCCTCCAGGCCGCACTTACGGGCAATGGAGTCGAGGTTGTACTCAGAGCCAGGCTCATAGTCACAGTAAATGTTAAGGAAGGGGCTGCCTTTGTCCCCTGAATCCTGTGGAAGGAAACTGGCCTCAGGGGAGAGCAGGGCTGGCAGGAGGGATTTGGGTCAGATTCAGTGGGATCCACATGTGTGTAAGGAGGAGGGAACGGGCAGGTGGAGGGGGCTCTGGGTACCTTGATGAACGTGATCCCCACGACCAGGCCCCGTTTTGGGGGCGACTTGTTGAAAGTGTCGATGGAGACAATCTCGGCATCCACTGGGAGGGGATAGTTCAAAGTTCAAGTTTCAGGCAATACCTCCAATCATAGTGACCCCTGACCTCTAGGACTCCATAACCTTTAACCACGGCCATGATGGTGATCTCTGAATCCTATTGAGTCCTGATCACCATCATCATGGGAGCAGAGATCCTGAATCCTAACCACTTCCAGGCTCCTATTATCCCTGCCCTCTGACCCCAATGCCTCCTGATTACCAGCTCCGACCCCCTTCAATCACCCTGGTCCCATTTTCCCATCATAGCGATCCGGCTCAGACAGAGCCTCAGAAGCCTTCTCAACACCATCTTCCCGGCCCTCCGGCCCCACAGCGCCACGCACCGGGTATGTAATTGAACTGCAGCTCCTTGGCTACCGGCCGGATTTTCTGTCGGAGGTCTTGGTAGCGGAAGCCCAGCACCTTGCCTTTAAGGGTGGCGGCCAGCAGCTCCCCGCGCCCGCCCGCGCCGCCC